GCGCCGCACCAGCGCGTCCACCTCCCACGCCGCAAACGCGCCGCGCGCCGCCGCGACGTGGCGCGGCGCGCCGCCGGGCTCGCCGCCGCCTGGACCCGCGGTGGCGGCGCCGCCGCCGCCGCCTGGGAGCTCTCCCAGGCCAAACAGCACCCGCAGCTGCGCCGCAAACACCCCCGCCACGCGCTCGAGCGCCTCCGAGCCCAGCAGCTGCTCCGCTGCCGCGCCATCCTCCACGCGCCCCGCGCCGCCCGCCGCCGGCCCGGGCGGCGCCGGGTTGACTATCGCCACGCCGCCCCAGGCGGGTATGCAGTAGCTGTTGGTGGGGCTCGGGGCGCCGCCCGGCCCGAGCAGCAGCAGCGGCGCGCGGTGCGAGGGCGGGACGTAGACGAGGATGTGCAGCACGTGCGGCGCCAGCAGCGCCGCCGCGCCGGCGACGGCCCCCGCCGCGTCCCCGCGCGTCGCGCCAGCCGGCGGCAGGGCCTGCGGCTGCGCCTGCGATTGCGGCGCGCCTGCGCGCCCGCTCTCGAGCGCCCACTCGCTGTCTACGAAAAACGGGAGCTCTTCTGCTGTTATGACCCAGGCTGAATGGGTGGGGCTCCATTTCGAGGCCGCCTTGGTGGGCGTGAAGTGGAGGACCTTTGGCGGGTGTGTGTGTGGGGAGGGAGGGGGGGTGCGCGGGGCCCGGCGGCCCGGTTTTGACCTTGGTGTTTCTGGTGGGGAGACAAGTCGGCATACAACAAAGCTGAAAGCAGAAGCATCTATGCATGACACGGATATGAGCAGCGGAGCTCAAAGGGACGACCCGTGCATGCTGCATCGGCGACATGGGCGCACAGAGCGGGTCACCGCGCCCCGCGGGCCCTCTCACCTGGCTCTCCACGCTCAGCGCGGCCAGGGGCCCCAGCGTGCGCAGCACGGGCGCCACGTACCGCGCCTCGAAGGCATCAAAGTCCCAACCGACCCGCCGGCGCGTGGGGTCAGCGTTTAGCAGGCTGAAAGACAGCACCGCTGCCCCCGCAGACGACAGCGGCAGCGTCCCGGCGCCGGCGGCGCCGGGGGCCGCGGCGCGTAGCCAAGGGGCGGCGGCGCGCGCGGCCGCGGCGCCCAGCCGCGCCGCCAGTTGCTCGGGCGCGTCCGCTGCGGCGCGCGCGTCGTACAGCGCCCAGCCGTGGCGGTACCGCCCGACCCAGGGCGCCCCGATGAGCAGCTGCCCGCCGGCTTCTTCCCCCTGACCGCCCTCCTCCGGCGCCCCGTCCCCGCGTTCGGCCGGCAGCAGGACCACCGCGTACCACCCCGCCCGGCCCCGACGCCCCCGCGGCGCGCTGGGCGCGGCCTCCTCACCGGCGCCGCCGCCTCGCAGCGCCGCTTTTAAGCGGTAGTCAGCCTCGTCTGGGGGCAGCTGCTCGCTCAGGCCCCGCCCCCACCACCTTGTGTCGCCGCTCGCAGAGTGCAGCGCCAGGCAGGCTTGCGCGTTGAGGGCGTGTTGAGCCCCAGGCTCGCCTCCCCCCGCCGCTGAGCTGGCGCTGGCGCAGCCGCCGGGGCCGTCCACAGTGGCGACAAGCCGGGCGCCCTTGGGGGGAGGATGAGCCCGCGGGCGACAGATAAGCGTTGATTCGGGCTGATTGTCCTTGACAAGACTGTCAGCAGAAGTTCAGGAATCAAGTTGAGGCTGAGCATGTGGTGTTGGCCGCGACGCAAGCAGTGGGCGATGCGCGACGGCAGAAAGAGGGAGGCGGATACGCTGCCAGCAGCCTGTTGAAATAACCGACTTCGCACCTCTTGACCGGCGACGCCCGCGCCGAGCTGGCGGGAAACCTCCGCCTCGAGCGCCGCCAGCAGTTGCTCCGCCGTGACCGTCGCCGACGCAGGCCCTGCGCGGCGGGCGGCGGGCGGGTGCGGTGGCGGGCCGGGCCGCGTCATGGCCCGCCCGCGCGCGCCTGCTGAGGCTCTGTGTGCGAGGCGCCGTCTGCGGCCCACAAACCATGCCCTCTGCCGCAGTGGTGCGCGCCGCCCGTGCAGCATCCGCTGCGCCAGCACTGGAGGGGATTTCGAAGGCGAACAGGGCAGGGGCGGCGCTCCTCGGCTCACCCCCAGGCAGGACGAGGTATGCCTCAACGGTGACGGGCAGCTCGGCACTGAGCGCCGCCGCCGCGCCGTGCATGGCGTCGAGGGGCAGCGGGGGTCGGTGCAGGCTGGTCAGCCGCCACCACACGGGGATGCCTGACGCCGAGGGCCACCGCGGTGAGGGTATGGAAGCGGACGGTACGGGGCGGGCAAGAGGGGTGGGCTGCGGGTCAGGCGGGCAGCTGCGGGGTGAAGAGCAAGATAGTGTGCGGGCTGTGATTTCTGCAACAAGCGTGTCATCTGTGGTAGGCGTGATCATGTCAGTTGGAGCTGCCCTCACCGGCCAGTACATACGCCACTGTCGCCAGCGCGACGCCAAGGCGCTTGCCGCCAGGCGGCCGTGCTGGCGCTGGATAGGCCGCGGCCGCTGTCGGCATTTTTGGACGCCCTGTGTAACAATCACTTTTCCAGGGAAAGCCACAAAACGAACGATGAGTACGGTCTTGGTGATCCAGATCAGTCTGATCTATTCTTTGATCATTGACTTCTGTTATATATTATTCCATGTCCTGAGATCGAATTAGTGGTTGACTTCACTTCACTTTTACTACCCCCGCTCCCCATTTCCTTCCCGCACGGTTGCTTGGTTGCCGGCCCCGAGAAGAAGGACTCACGAGTAGAAGGACGAATTTGATATGAAAAGCGCATCAGGGACGCGGCACGCTCGAGATTCCCAGCATAGGGCTGCTGTTCGCCGCCCGCCCCTGCCAGGACCCATGTGCTTGGCCCCGGCGACACGTCGTGCGCACTTGCCACCACATGGCACATCGGCGCGCCCGCAGCGGACCGCAGTTGCTGCAGCAAGCGTGTTTGATGAGCCCCTGGAGGCGCGCATGCCAGCTGCTCCTGCCAGTGATCTCATCAACGATGGTGAGGAGGCACGAATGCGTGCGGGTCGAGCTAGGTATACCCATGAGGAGCCGGCGTACGTGCGCCGGCCGTATGCCGCCGGGCGCACGGCCACCTGCAAGGTCCTGCTGCGGTCTGCACAGGGCGGCTAAACGCTGCCTGCCGGCTGCTTTGCAACGCTGGCATGCCGCTGCATTGACCAACACAATTTGCTTGCCACTCTCCTATGCGCCCCGCAGCCTGGCCGTTTCTACACTCGAGCACCCCGCCTTGCGTCTTGCCACATTCACCCAACTCTCATCCACCTCCTCGACCTCACCTCATCCACCAGTGCTCGTACCCCCCCCCCCTCCCGACACACACATACTCACTAGACCTCGCCCCGACGCTGGCGGGCAGGCGCACCCTTGGCGCCGGGGACATGGCGGCGCTGTGGGTGTCCCTGGTGGTGTCCACCACCACCCTCATGCTGGCAGGCAGCCTGGTAGACCTGGGCATGTCCTGGAGCCAGGTGGGGGGCTGCTCCCTGGGGTGTGCCGCTGGCAGGGAAACCGCCTCAGGGGGGAGCCGGGGCCGAGGAGGAGACAGGCGTGTGGATGGGGGATGGGAGGCATGTGCATGCGTGTACACGCGTGTGCAGGTCAGGGGGACGCCTGTGCATTCTTTGAGCGTATCAGCGGGGCAATCGCGTTGGGGGTTTGGCGGCCTGTGGATGCTGATGAGCCAGGTATGTGAGAGCAACGTCGAAGCCGCATCCAGAGGGTGACGAGGCAGCGGTGCGAAACGCTGGGGTGCCTGCTGTCAGGGGCGCCCTCACAACCACCACCAAGGGAGCGCCCGCGGCCACTGGGAGCTCGCGTCGCGGCTCGCCACGCCGCAGGCGGGAGCAGCCGCGGCGCGCGCTCAGCTGCTCCATACGCGCGCTGGCAGCAAGGCGCGGCGGGGCGTCGCAGTTAGAAATCCCTCCCCCCCCTGCGACAGCCCCCACATCTGCCCCGGCATAATCCGCAGGGCGTGTTCACCGTGTTTGTGGGTAACCTGGTGACACTGGTGCCCCTGGTGCTGAATGCCTATCCTGGGACCAAGTATGGTGGGTGCTCCTTTTGGGTGGGTCGCTGTCTCAGGGTTGGTTTCTCCAGTTTGGCTTCCTGCTTCAAAGCTCACTTGCACACTGTGTGCGCACAGCCCTCGCCCGGCCATTGACGCCCCCATCCTTTCTGTTGCGACAGGCATCCCGTTCCCCGTGCTGGCGCGCGCCAGCTTTGGGATCAAGGTGCGCCGCCTGCGGCCGGAGCGTGATCGCGAGTAGCGGCTGCCTATGACAGCGGTGCCTGATCAACGTCTGCCGTGTCTGGCAATATGTGATCACACGTGTCCGGCAGCCGGAAGCAAGAGTGTATTGCCTTGCCGGACGCTACATGCCCTCCTTTTGGCCCCCACGCCTCCCCTCATCTTGCGCTTGCAGGGCGCCAACTTGCCGGCCCTGTCTCGCGGCTTGGTGGCGTGCGGCTGGTGCGTCGGCCGGTTACCAAGCCCCCCCTTTGAGTATCCGACCCTGCCAATGACGCAATTCGTCAACGCCAGTGCTTGGCGCCCTGGTGCGCGCAGCGGCCCCTTGTCACTGCCGGCGCACCGAGGGAGGCAAACCTCCTCGCGGCGCACCCGTCCGGGCTTCCTGAGTGCCCCCACTTCACCACCGCGCATCACATATGATGGGCGGCTCCTCCTTTCCTGCTGCCTCGGGGGGCAACAACAGGTTTGGGATCAACACGACCATTGGGGGCAGCTCAATATTTCAGATGCTGCAGGCCGCCACAGGCGGCGCCATCTCAGCCACTGTGATCCCGTGGTTGGGCATCTCCCCGCCGGAGCTCGCCTGCTTCGGCCTCTTCTGGGCAATACAGGTGGGTTCAGAGTTTCCACTTGATAATTTGGATGTGAGGTGGGGTTGAAGCACACTATGCTGCCACATTAAAGGGAGGCGTTGCTGCGCCTCCCATCGCTCCCTGCAGTGTCTGTGCAAGTGTTGGCATGCTGTGCCGGCATCACCAATGCTGTTATTGTGTCTGCCACCCTTTGTTGACCCACAATCACCGCCAAGCCCACTCACGACCGGCCGTTGCCAACCTGATTCCCTTGAGTGGCCCCTTCCTGGGTGACCTGGGCCAATCCTCTTCGTTCCCCTCGGACAGACTTGTGCTGCAACGCTCCCCCTCTTTGTAGCACACGCACACACACGCGCACACACGCGCACACACACACACACAAACACACACACATACACACACACACCTACCCGCCTAATCGCCACCCCCAGGTGGCGATCATCGTCCAGGGCATCAACTCCATCAAGGCCATTGAGAAGTACTCAGCCCCTGTCCTCGTCGCCCTGGCCCTCGCCCTGCTCGCCTGGGCGGTCGCCTCCGCCGGCGGCTTTGGCCCCATGCTGTCCGCCCCGAGCCGCCTGGCCACGGCCGGCGAGTTTACGCGCGTGTTTGTGCCGGCGGTGACGGCGCAGGTGGGGTACTGGGCGACGCTGGCGCTCAACATACCAGACTTTGCGAGGTGAGCGGTTGCTGCCCCACTACCACTGAATGAGTGTCGGTCAATACGGCTTGGTTTTTCCACTCTGCATGGTTATTGGTTGACATGGCTTGGTTGTTTGGGTCCAAAGGAGAGGCATGACGGGCATTTTGGTTGTGACAGCCTATGAAGAGTCCGGGGCAAGGAAGAGCTTAGGGAGAGACAGCGACCGGATGGGCAGGGAGGGTAGGGTGTCGCGTGACGCCGTGCCAATCCGCCAAGCATGCTGGCCATGGCGGGCATGGCGAGCCTTGCTGAGTGGTGAATGTTTGGATAGGAAGGGCGTGTCAGCTAGGGGAGGGGGGCTTAGCAGGGGCATGCATGTGACTGCCGCAACAGGCGGGCGGAACGGCGGCCAGAGCAGGCAGGTGGCAATGAGTCATTGGCCTGCATGGCACTGTTGACACATGAACACTTATCCCGCCCAAAAACCCACCCCCCATTCCCCTCACAGCTCACCAGTTCGCACCCCACCTGCACCTCAACTCCCACACCAATCCCACCTGCCAGGTATGCCACTTCGCAGCGCGCGCAGCTGCTGGGCCAGGCGTGGGGCCTGCCCGTCACCATGGTGGGGGGGTGGGGGGGGCGCCTCCAGTGGCTGGCCAGAGCTAGCCTCCGGGTTCAAAAAGCCCGGTCGCGGAGTCTGGCTGCCGCTCGCTGGCCTTCACCACCCCTGATGCACACAGGTTGCCGGCATCGTTTGATGTACCGTACCGGGGGGGGGAGCGACAGCCAGTGCAGGCCAACACGCCGGCGCCCTGTGCTTGGACGCATGCACCAAAGCCCTGCATTCCTGACAAGATTGCTGATCTGCCGGCCAATCTGCCCACCGAGCTGCCCGTTGATCTGGCCGCCAATCTACCAGTGCGCTCTATCCCTGCTCCATGCGCCACCAGGCCCTCTTCTCGTTCGTGGGGCTGGCGGTGACGTCAGCGAGCGCCGTGATCTACGGCGCACCCATCATCGACCCGGTGCAGCTGCTCAGCCGCACCCGGCAGCCGGCGGCGATCCTCGTGTCCCTCCTCGGCCTCATCCTCGCGACACTCACCACCAACATCGCCGCCAATGTGGTGCGCGTGCCCCCGCAGTCAGCGCCGATGCAGCGGCTGACAAGTTATCAGGGCAGTGACGACAAGGGACTGTCAGAGTGTGTATTTCTCTCTTCCTGTCAACATCTTGCAATCGGTTTAGGTCGTCGCAGGCCGGCCAGCTGCTGCGTAGTGCCCCTTGCCCTCTGCCCACCGCCCACGATTCACCACCCTCCTCGTCGCCGAAACACCTCAACAGGTCGGGCCCGCGAACGCCTGCGTCAATCTGGCGCCCCGCGCCATCTCCTTCGCCACCGGAGGTGGGGGCGCACGGGGCGCGGCATGCTGCTGCGGCAGCACCTGATGGCGCGTGCTGTGGCTCGCCGGTGAAGACCGCATTTGGCGATGTCGCCACGCCTCAAGCTCGTAGCGGCCGGCCATCCGCACCTCCACACCCGTGTGTTTCCCCCAGGCGTCATCACCGCTGTCCTGGGAGCGGTGATTATGCCCTGGCGCCTACTCAGCAGCAGCAGCGCATTCGTTGGCTGGCTGGTCGCCTACTCATCACTTCTGGGTAGGCGGGTGTAGCAGGGGGTGCATGCATATGTGCGTGAGGCGAAGTGTGCAGTACGCCCAGTGGCCGATGCGTGGGCTTGCAAGAAAGGTGGGCGCAACAAGCCCCCCCCCCCAGCAGATGTTTAGCACATTGAATCTCCTGGCCACACAACCACAACTGTGAAGCGGCGCACACATGTGCATGCACCCAATGCGTGCCAAGCCCGGCTGGCTTTCAGCCTTTCACGGCTGATCCACCTGTGGCTTCGCCACACAAACCCCAATTAACCCAGATGCTTTACAGCATCACCCCACTCCACTTCAACCCACCCCTTGCTCCCCTCAATCCGCGCCACCCCACTTCAACTCACCACACTACAACCACCTCAATCCACCTTCACCCCACCCTGCCGGGACAAGGCCCCGTAATCGGCGTGATCATCGCCGACTTTTGGATCGTCCGAGGCAGGACCTTGGACGTCGACGGACTCTACTCCACCAGCCCGCAGGGGCCCTACTTTTACAGCAGAGGCTACAACCGCGCGGCCGTGGTGGGTCCGGGGATCTGGGGTGGTATATGGGTTTCGTGAGCCCGCAGCTGCTGCGCATGCAAACCTGATGATAATCTTCGCGGAGCGTGGCTCGTTTCGCATGTCTCGCGCCGATAAGCCCTGCTCAGCTGCTCTCGTGGCCATGCGCCTATGCATGGCTGCACGCAACTGCTGACCTGTTGCCAATGGTGTCACGCAGGCTGCCGTACTGGCAGGCGTGGCCCCCTGCCTGCCCGGCATGGCGGCGGCCCTCGGGCTGTCGTCATCACCCGCAGGGCCCTTCTTTGCGGCAGTGTACGACGCCGCCTGGTTTGTGGGCGCGGCGGTGGCGACTGGGGTGTACGTGCTTCTGATGCGGCCGGCAACATCAGGCGAAGCGGCGGGCGGCGGCGCGGCCGCCTCTCCAGCTTGAGGGTTGGTAGGGCTGCTGCCTTTTCTCCGCCAGACTTTCCTGGCAACGCAGATGATTATTCTCGATTCCTTACTTTTTCAGCAATGCAGGTGATACTTGTAGATGCACGCACTGTTATGTTCTGTGTCACTTGCTCGCATGTCTCCCTACTAGCCCCCCTTTGCATCTCTCCTGATCCCCTCCTCTCAACTGCCCCTGCTTCCCTTGTTCTTGGGGTTGGTCGGTTGTCTGTCAACCCTAGAACCAACATGACAGTGTCATGGACTTGCAAGCTTATTGAACCAGACGCCAACCAAGCCCAGCAAGCCCCTTGTAATCAAAAGAGCCAGCTGCCACGGCCGTCTGTAGCCGAGGGCGGCCACGGTTGTGCGGCCGCTAAAATACGGCCACAACCGCAAGCCGGTGATCGAGCAGCCAAGCCCTACCCCTGTAATTCCAAGGGGGACCCAAGTCAGTGTGCTTTGGAACCCGCGCATGAACAAGACAACAGCAAAACAAGCCAGCACCGACCAAAAAGCAAAAAAGACAACAGCACAGAAATGGGCCGGCAGGACTGGAAGGCCCCAGCAATGGCCCTGGGGGCGCCCTGAAGCTGCACCCCCGCGCGACCCGCCCACGCGGCGCAGCACCACGCAACAAACGCACCGGCGCCCGCGCCTGCCAGCGGCAACCCCTCGTGCCCGCGGGGCCCTCGAGAGCCCGGCGGCCTGGCGCGCGAAACCCCTGCGGTGTAACCCCTCAGAGCGGCGACTGCGCGCCTGACGTGGGGTCCAGCCAGGTGACGCCCACCCTCAGGGCATCATAGGCCAGGAACTGCACCGCCGCCCCAGGCACGATCTTCACGCAGTTGATGCCCCACCCCCGGAACAGCGCGCGCGCCAGCCCCCCCTGCTCCCCCGCCATGCCCCCGATGAGTCCTGCGTACGTCGCCCGCGCCCGCCGCGCGGCCCCGCCGCCGGCGGGGCCCGCGCCCGCGGCCAGCAGCGTGCCGGGCGCGCCGGCGAGCTGCATGCGGCGGCGGAGCGTATCTAATGGGTAGCTGCAGGTCTGGGCGGCGACGCCGGCGGCGGCGCCGCAGCCCATCTTGGCAAAGGGGTACCACCAGGCCTCCTTGCTGACCTTGTCGGAGGGCAGGTTGTGCTGCGCATGCGGGGGGCGTTTGATTGATCCGGGTCGGATGGCGGAGGGGCGGGGGTTGCGTGTGAGCAAAAGGGGCCGGCGCAGAGGCGCAGGGGTTGCGCCCGGTGGTTGCCCTTGCTGTCAGTGGAGGGAGGTGTGGAGACCGCACGCCGTGCTGGGCGGCCACCGCCTGCCTCGCGCGCGCCGCCCACAACTATGCTGGCCCCGCGCCGCTGGACAATGAGAGGTCGCCTCCGCGCCTTGCAGCATGCGCGAATGCAGCGTGTGCCGCCCCTCGGCCCCCCAAAAAACAGACCGCAACAGAAACAGTGAGCAGAAGGTCGCGCAAAAACAGTGAGAAGCGCGTTTTGTCTACAGGCATGCAGATCGAAGGCGCCCGCAAAATTTCGCACCTTGAAGTAGTCATACGCCGTGAAGCTCACGCTCGTGTAGACCACCACCCCCGGCAGCGACAGCGACATGCCCTTGTAGGGCGCCAGCAGGCCCTCCCGCACCACAGCAGATCGCAGCGCGGAGATCACCCCCGGCGCCGGCGTGGGCGCGTACGCGTGCGCGGCGGCGTGCGCGCCGCGCAGCGACTGATGTATGTGAATGCTGCTGCAGCCTGGGCCGTTGGAGACGCCGCTGCTGCCGCCAAATCCGGGAGTGCTTCTCAGCACGCTGCCATTATTGCCAGAGCTGCTGGCACCTATGCTGCTGATAGCTCTGCTGCCTATCTGACTTCTGCTGCTGTGAATGTCCTTGCCGCTTGCGGCGCTCCCGGTGCTACCGGTGCTCCCCCAACTGCTGCTACTGCTGCCGCTACTGCTGCCGCTGCCGCTGCTGCTGCTGCTGCTGGCCCGCGCCTGCGCAGCTGCTGCCTCGCACACCACTGCCGATGGGAGGCTGGCCGCCAGCCGCGCGCCGCCCGCGCAGCCGCCGCCTGCCGCGGGGCCCCAGGGGTGAAGGGACGCCCCCCGCGGCGGCGCCGACAGCCGCCGCCGTAGATGCTGCGGGTGCTGCTGCTGCTGCTGCTTCACAATGGGGTCAGCGGCCACCGCTGCAGAAACCGTGCTCAGCCCCCTCGCGCCAGGTGGCGCAGCGCCGCCGCCTTGCCCCGAAACCGCTCCCGGGGCTAGGGGCCCCGCCGCCGCTGCTGCTGCTGCGGCTGCCGAGGCCGCGGGCCGCGGCGCCGGCGCGGCGGGGGTCGCCACGTACGTGGTGTGTGCGGTGATGCGCGTGCGGGCAAAGTCCAGCGGATAAAACAGCAGCGTCTTGCACACCCCTGAGTGATTGTTGTGAACAGCCAGCGGCCGAGATGGGCTAAGGCAATGCACCCACCGCTTCCTGGTAGATGTATCAGCTGCATCGACAGAACACACACATATGCACGCACGCACATGCACGCACTCAGACTCACACACTTCCCTCCTGCACTCGGCTGCGCTCGGCCTCACGCGCGCCCGCCCCTAGCCAGTGCGCGCACGCGCCTGTCGCAGCGCCCGCCGCCATCTTCTCCTGCACGCCCATGGGGCTGCCATCGGGCGGCGAGAACATCACCCTGCGGCCACGGGACGCGCGCGGCGCGGCGAGGCGAGGGTGCCCTTTGTTAAGCAGCCGCGGCACCGGCGGGGCGGGCCGCTGTGGGGGCTGCGGCCTTCCAGGGTGCTGCCCGCTCAAACAGCAGCACCCTAAACGGATGCACGCAACGACAAGAGGTTGTCACCGCATCTCCACATACTGCCCCCCCCCAAAAAAAGAAAAATCCAAAACGAACAGGAATGAGGGAGCGCGCCTGAACTGGTCGTGCACTGCAAATTTGAAGCCGACCTCCGGCACCAAGCGGATGACGTTGGTGCCGTTGCCCCGGAACCACACGCGCCAGCCGCCCTCCGCGGCGCGCATCCGCCAGAGGGCGTCCCAGGCGCCGCGGTAGCGGAGCTCGGGGGGCGCGGCGCTCAGGGACTGCACCTGGGCGAGGATCTGGGGGGGAGGGGGGAGGTGAAGGGGG